CAAAGGACAAAACGGATTTGATTGAGTGTTTCATCGTCAGGACGTTGATTTATTGCATTTAAGATTACTTGAAAGTATCATTTGTCTAACAAAGGTTATTACATGATCCCGTTATCGTTTCAACGCCCGCATACCTTCCTATTTATTTTGTCTAAAACGAATTGAAGCCTCGAAGTTCTGCGAACGATAACAATAATATTCGGCATAGCCTGCGGTGCGGGTAGTAGATTGAATCGTGACCGCGATTTTCCAAATTCCCAGCCTTGTTGCTTCGAGTCGATGAACGATCGGAAATTCACGTCACGAGTTGTCGTTCACCCCATCGCGATCAGAGTCGTCCAACTGTTTTACTGTACACGTATCATTTTGTTCTCTTCACGTATCCCAGCTTGTTGGATTCTAAAAGCAAAAGTTTCAANNNATGTGAAGGCCATTCTGTCTTTTGGCACGCATTGAATTCTGTGAAACAAATGTCTATCTTTAGCTTATTAAAAATTTTATTGTGAAATCAGTTACGGTATTGTCGTTAAATTCGAACCCGCAGGAATTTGCCCTTTGAAGAAGGTCCCACGGTTGCGAGAAATCGAGCGTGCGTGCTCAACAATTCTATCATTCGATTATTCAAATGCTGGCACGTGGCGTGTAATTTCTGACCGAAGAGAGTCAAAATAAGAAACACGATAATAGTTAAATTTGCTTTTTATCAGTAATGCTAAAATTACCTGAGATTTAAAAAGGAATTAAATCCGAAGCATATAACCATTAATTATATTTTACTATGAGAACTGAGGAATGTTACACCATNCGTTAATACAAATATTTTATTTCATAATTCATTGAAGAAAAATGGCTGTGAATTCGGTATTATTGCTAAACTAGGAAATATATTTTTGATAAGATTTCCAATAAAGATCGGGGGTATCAGGCCATGGCACCTGAAATTCGGTAAACGTGTTACGGCGCGGATAACACTGCGGAACAATGCGGTAGTAGCTACGCGCAGCTTCACCGCTCACACTTCCCGTATCGAAACCACTTTTCAGTAAGTAGATAAATTAAGGAAACGAAATTATATGTTACTTTGGGAATTTTCTATCGTAAAGCCGTTTATAATGTTTCAGTGGATTAGTGGTCAGAGGGAACCATTATCTTCTTGCCAACGATAACAAATTTTGCTCCCACGAGGGGCTGCAATTACGGCAGAAAATGGACAAAGTAAAATCTTGATTGGTATTACCTCGGACCTCTTATGAACCTAATTAGGTATAAAATTTTTGTAATTATATAATAAGTATGATTAAAGTTTCACAGGAGTAAGAATATTTTTATACAGAAATAGGAGTTTATTATTTTAAATTATATCAATTATGAATTAATATGAAATAAAATAATATGAAATAATGAAATAAACATAGAATTTTATATAATACAGGATTTAATATCGCGAATCATTTAACTTACGAGCACTATCTTTATTTTACAAGAAAGGTGGCTTGTCAGCGAATGGGAAAATATGAGAACTCTTTCTGCTGATACAAGGATCTTCAATCCTGGCTCGGTTTTTTTCTCTTTATAAACGTCGGATTGCCGCATTCCGGTTGAAAGCTGACCCACGTGGACTTCTTCGCGATATCGCAATTTCATCGACGGTGGGGGTTGCATCACCCGCGGGGACCTTGAGATTCTTCCTGAAAACTTTTCACGATCGTGTTCGTGGCGAAATTCAATTCGTCGTCACGGAGTCACCCCCTAGGGTTTCACGGTATGCCGATCACGTAATTGAAAGCCCGTTAGAATATCCGCTGGATCAGCTAAAAAAATTATTCCACACAGCGTTTCGCTAAATTCTTAATAAAACCGAAATTATGCCAAAGATTCCTTATGATTTTAAATTTAAATAGATATTAATGATATTGGATAATAAATATTTTTGTATGATGCAAGAAGTTAGAAAGAATTTTTGGCAACGATTAAAGTTCGGTTTTAAAGGAACAGCTCGTGCCAGTTGAAAAACAACAATAGCCCCTGGCGCAAATTTTCGACGCAATCGCGCTTGGAATCGACGTTTCCGCGTGGAAACACAACCGCCAGAGAGTCACGCGACTTAAAACAAGCCTGTAAATCCTATGATGACGGATCGTGATAGAATTTAATTAGCTAATTCTACAGTTTGTTTAATCGTAAATGAATCTGATAAGAAATACAGAAACCCCGTATTAAACTCTACATGTTAAATAAGAATACATGCAATGAGATAAAAATGTATGTAAAAGAAATATTCATTTTTTAAATAGATCATAACTGTCGTGAAAAGTGTCCTGAATTTGTCCCACGTTCGATGGGGAAATATGTGATTCGTCTCGCTCTGAAAATTTTCTCCTAAGGAAAATTTATGTACATAACGGGACGTGTAATCGAAACGCGAACGATCCCATCTTCCATCGGCTGTCTTCCTTGGCATGAATAGGAAGGACGTTCATTTTTAGCCTCCTCATTGGCTCCTATCCTTCTCTGAAACCGCTTGATAAATGATACAACACGTTTTCATACAATGCAATTTATTCATCGTTCAATAATGCAATATTAATTTGACATTATAAATGGCATTAAGTTTCTCTAAATTTTTGTCGCACAAATGATTGTTTAACATTTGCACACGATCGATTAGATAATATTATCGAATGGATGCAGCGAGTATGTTCATAAAGCAGAGTTAATGCGTGCATCAACGACATGGGAATCATCAATTTGACCGAATTTACAAACTGAAAGCATCGAACTGTGAAATACGTAGCTAAACGATATAAAATATCGTTGAAATCAAACGACTGTCGGTCGCGATAAATTCGTTCCGCTTGTTATCAGTAAACGAAATATATTTCGCTGTTAATGCATTTGTTTTAAATATACGTACAAGCTTGGTCGACCAATTAAAAGTAAAATTGTCTATCATCCCATTGGACAGAAGCAATCACGATTTCACTATATATCTCATTAAAAAAACGAGAAAATTGCTTATCAAATGTATGAAACTGAAATTTCCAATAGGATGTCTAAATTGAATTGTCAGTTTCTTCAAACACTTTTTGAAAACTGTAACAGCTGAAACTGCATTACTTCACCGTGTTTCAAAACTATATGAAACTCGATTTGCACACCTTTTACAAACTGTCATAACTCACATCCGTTCCAATATGGAACTCCGTCGGATACTCAAACGTGACAGCCAGATCCCAGTAAGCTACCATCGCAACGGACAACCTATCCAATGAGTTCGTAAGCTCCTAAACACGTCAGCCTGTCAACCTTCAACGATAACGCCTAAATGTGTGAAAGAGTCGCTAAAAAATTAACGGAGAAGCCTGGATCGATTCGTTCCAGGCTTATCCGATGCTTTAGTCATTCATTAATTTCAGATCGATCGTTCTGTAGCAACGCTTTTTAATTTCTCCTAAATCTAAATGAATTTTCTGAATAAATCTGCTCAATATTACGATAGTTCAATACTTGGTATCAAAGTATTTCTGGTATTTTATCAAGAAGTGGAACTATATCTTAAAGTTACATTTTGCAAAGAGCAATATTTTTGGGGGATGAAAAATTGAAGAAGCTTCGTCGCAGGCAACTGACCATTTCGCCTGGAAACGGCGTGGCTGGGCATATCGATCTCGAAAGAGGGGCGAAGATCGTCCAGCGAAGCTTTCAGGGCTGTGCCTCGACGCCACCTGCGGCGACCTTGACCTACGGGGTTCCTCTCGCGCCGGCGTCGCGTCCTCTTTTCCTATCTCGCTTCTCCGAGACGGTGCCCCTCATTTTCCATCCCTACCTTCCATCTCATCTCGGCAACGAACGATGGATCTCCATTTCTCCCTCGTCACTTTCTCTTCTCTGATTTCACTCTTCTAATAGCCCGAATCCGCCCTTGACATTTTTTTCTATTCCTCTGCCATCTCATTTTTCTCTGTTTCGATATTTCAATTTTTCGTACGTCCGATTTGTCATTTATTTTATTTTATATATTAATAATATATAGTATGTCTGTTAATAATAATGTATAATATGTCTGTTAATAATAATATATAATATGTCTGTAAAAAAAGAGCTTTAATAATAACAATAAATTAGAAACAAACAGACCTTTCGCATTCGTCTTGTTTATAAGCCTTTTTCCTATCACGTGGCTGTCACTAATACACCTTTTAGAACAGTTACTCTCTTTCATCATTTCCTTTTTTCGCTGGTTATCCGTGATCCGGAATCACGTTCGCTGTTCGCTGCTCAAACGGGAATGCACTTCACTTCCCTCTTCGCTTTGTCGCTCAGTTCCGGTTTTCCACTCTCTGATTCCTGTCCCCGCCGTACCATTCGCAAAAGACTTTTAATTTGATGTTTCGCGTCTCGACCATACCAGATTCTCTCATCGATTCGCTTTTACCTCTGCAAGTCAATCTCCGACATAATTAAAAGCAGGAATCTTATCATTTAATTTTGTACTTCTATCCTCGAAGCTCTGTTACAAGAATTCTTGAGTGCACGAATCCTTTGAATCGTGCAGATCTATTCTAAGATTCTCCTCTCTTAATTTAAACCCGAATCCATTCTCTTCATTCATCCGCGCTTCCTCGCTTTACTTCTTGCAATTTCTGTATAATTGTCGGAATTACCTCGAATCTTTCTGCGAGAAATTCTTTAATTAGACCCTCTTTGTTCAAGCAAATCTTTAATCCTGACACAATCCGGCCAAGTTTCGTTCCAACGCCGGAAGGAGTACCGAGCAACCAACTACCCGGAGAACCCTCCCCGTCTATTTTTCCAAATCGAACGCTCCTACTCGACCTCCTCTGTTTCCTTAATCAGTCTCCTCCACCAATAAATTATTCCCAGATTGTTGTCCATTGTCCTTAAAACGTTCAAACTTCATCGAAATTAGTAGCAAAGGAAAACTAATGAGAAAGAACAATCGATAAAAGTTTGTCGTCTGCTGTCATGAATTATTATTAAACTAAGTGATGTCATTTTTCAAAAGTGAAATTATATAGAAACTTCTTCGATCACCTTGTATATTAATTATGAAATTCTTCTATCAAACCTTTTGAAATACTGTAAAAAAAAGGATTTTCACTGTCAGGGATTTTAATATTATTAATATTTTTAATAAAATGAGAATTTTTAATAAACAATGCTAGTAAAGTACAACAGAGGCAATAAACTATTTGATCGATGTTGCATATAAATTCTACCAGGGATATAAAAATTGTTTCCAACGCAGGATGGGCAAACATGAAATTGTAAACCGGATATCGCACATTGCAAAGAATTCACTTAACACTTGTTAGTAAATTCGTTTATCCAAATGAGATTTACAGAGACAGAACGTGTGCTGGACCGTCGACGGGGTGAAACGCGGCCTCCCACCCCACGGCTGCGGCGCCTAGCTACCGGATCGAGGCGACCCCACCCCCTGGAGCACGCTGCTCTGCTGCTGTCTCGGCTCGTGTCCCGACGAACGGTTCCACCAGTCGCAGTTCGAACCCCCGACCCGTGAGACCGGACGAACACGTTGATATCCTGGACGCCGACGACGGGCACGACGGGGACGATCGTGCCGAAACCCCCGGCCATGAGCCCGGCCCCGGAAGCATGCAGGTGGGTGCTATATCTTACTCGTAGCTCACAAGTTTCTGTGATAAAATGTCCTCGACGATACGAGACTGGAATGGGTTCATGGACAGTGCATTGCTCTTGAGTGGCTTGCAGTCCAGATCAATTTTTAACAATTTTTTTTAATTTACCCTGCAGATGGAAATTTCATTAGGCAATTCTTATGG